GGCCGCCATTGGCCAGGAGCGCACACTAGACAATCATAATGGTCCCTTCTAACCTTAAAGTCTATGAATCAATGCCGCCGGCACCGACACAGCCATCGGTACTGACCAACAGACCAAGAACGGCACCGACTGTTCCGACCAAGGCCATGCACAAAACGGTAACACTACCAATCAAATCTACAACAATGGCAACATCAGCACCAAAACAGGTGGCTTCACAACAGTTTCTGCAACACAGAGACACTGAAGTGAGGGGCGGTGACTGTGAGATGGTGAAGTTCAGAATCCTGACAAAAGGAAGAAAGGAGAGTAGCAGAATACGGACTCTGGACTTCAGAAAAGCAGACTTTGACTCCCTCAGGGAACTGATGGGCAGGGTCCTCTGGGAGAATAACATGAGGGGGAAAGGAGTCCAGGAGAGCTGGCAGTATTTTAAAGAATCCTTATTGTGGCTGCAGGAACAAACCATCCCAATGTGTAGAAAGAATAGTAAATATGTCAGGCAACCACCTTGGCTTAACAGTAAAATCCTTGCTGATCTTGAACACAAAAAAGAAGCTCACAAGAAGTGGAAGCTTGGACAAATGACCAGGGAGGAGTATAAAAATATTGCTCAGGCATGCAGGAGTGAAATCAGGAAGGCCAAATCACAATTGGAGTTGCAGCTAGCAAGGGATGTTAAGGTGAAGGAGAAGGGTTTCTACAGGTATGTTCGCAACAAGAAGAAGGTCAGGAAGAGTGTGGGCCCCTTACTGAATGTGGGAGGCAAACTAGTGACAGAGGATGTGGAAAAAGCTAATGTAGACAATGTGTTTTTTGCCTCTGTCTTCACAAAGAAGGTCAGCTCCCAGACTACTGCACTGGGCAGCACAGTATGGGGAGAAGGTGACAGCCACCTGTGGAGAAAGAAGTGGTTCAGGATTATTTAGAAAATCTGGACGAGCACAAGTCCATGGGGCCCGATGTGCTGCATCCGAGGGTGCTAAAGGAGTTGGTGGATGTGATTGCAGAGACATTAGACATTGTCTTTGAAAACTCCTGGCGATCAGGGGAGGTCCCAGATGACTGGAAAAAGGCTAATTTAGTGCCCTCTTTAAAAAAGGGAAGAAGGAGGATCCGGGGAACTACAGGCCAGTCCGCCTCACCTCAGTCCCTGGAAAAATCATGTCGCAGGTCCTCAAGGAATCAATTTTGAAGCACTTTGAGGAGAGGAAAGTGATCCGGAACAGTCAGCATGGATTCACCAAGTGCAAGTCATGCCTGACCAACCTAATTGACTTCTATAATGAGATAACTGGCTCTGTGAATGAGCGGAAATCAGTGGACATGTTATTCCTTGACTTTAGCAAAGCTTTTGATACAGTCTCCCACAAGTATTCTTGCCAGCAAGTTAAAGAAGTATGGGCTGGATGAATGGACTATAAAATGGATAGAAAGCTGGCTAGATTATCAGGCTCAGCGGGTAGTGATCAATGGCTCCATGTCTACTTGGCAGCTGGTATCAAGCAGAGTGCTCCAAGGGTTGGTCCTGGGGCAG